CTAGCCTGATTTCTCTCTACACTTGTCTGCGGTCCCCTCTAGGTTCTATCTTAATTCCTTCATCTAGTTCTGCCCCTTCTAGGTTCTCATCCATCTAGTTCTTTCCCATATCAGCTCCTCTCCCATCTCCTTCTCTCCTCATCTCGTTCTTCCTCATCTTGTTCTTCTTCCCCATCTGGCTCTTCCTCATTTTCCATCTTGTTCCTCTAGTACTCTCCTCTAGCCCTTCAACCTAGTTCTTCTCCATCTCAGTTTGTTCCTCTCAAGTTCTTACCTGTCTAGTTCTTCCATTCTCTTTTCTCTCCTCTGTCTCCCGTGCCCTGGAATTCCTGGTATATACACACTTACAAGCAGTAATCCCTTAGCAGTGCAAAGCCAGGCTTCCAGGGTCAAACGGAGGGGTGATAAGAATCACATAGGGAGGCAATAGCCGTTAATTATCATTTGCAACCCCAAAGGGAAGTGACCAATGGGGAAATGAATTAACTAAAGGCTAAATTCAGGTAATATCTAAGAAGAGGGCTCTTATGTGCTCAACTATAATCTTAAACATGATTGGTAGAAAATGTTAAGAATCTATAAGTTGCTAGGTCAATGGGAGAAAATAAAATTGTCTTCTTTTTTCCTGTGACTCATATCTGTCTGAGCTATCTGCCATTTTTCTGCAGGGTTGGGGAAAGTGTGTTCGGTTGGTCACTAGGCAACCTGTGTACAGCTAGATGCCTCTGGTAATAGTTAAAGGGAGATCTGGAACTAGAGGTAAGGTTTGGAAAAGGAGGAAGTAAAGCTTAATTGGCACATCTGCCAGGCCTTCTCAAACAGGTCGCCCGGATGCTTAAGTCTGTTCTTAGAGAGTACAGAGGTATCTCTGATAAAGTACTTTCCTCCATCTGGAGATGGACCTGGCTGGATGCTGCCAATGATGATAATTACAGGGAGGCTTGAACTGGGGTTCTGGCTGAGCATAGCTATCAGTGCAGAAGGTTATCCAAATATTCCTAGAAGTGGTTAGGTAAGGAGTTAGAGGTCTATAAAGTTAGTAAGGATGTAAGAAAGGAGGGTCCGAGCTAAATTGTGTAAAGCTATTACTAAACATCCACCTGACCTAGGTGGTGTCTCCTTGTGGAATTTGTCTTAAATCAGGAGACTTGCATGTGGACTGTTATTACTGCTAGTCCTTGAAAGTGGCTAAGGGAGATATCTGATTCCAGAGAAAGCCTTTCCTGAGGCAGTTCTCCAAATACCTGGAATGTGTATGTCCAGAGAGTGATCAGTCCACATTGTTAGCCCTTCTTGGGGAAAAGTCAATTGGGAAAACTATGAAGGCACACATGATTTTCATAACAGAAGACAGCTGATATATACCAAGCCAAGTAACACCAAAAACTCCTTGAAAGTTGGCTTCCTCTGGAGGAATTCCCTGATTCCTCCAGGTAGTGACTTTGCCATAACCAGCTGAGTTCTTATGATATATTCCTGTGGCCTGCAACACTGGTCTACTGAGTGAGTCCCAGGACAGCCAGGACTGTTACACAGAGAAACAAAGAAAAATAAGATTGGACAACTCCAGATGGATCTCCAAAAATGTAAGAAAACAGCTCTATGCCTCTGGCCAGTGGATCATTGACAGTCCAATATGGAACTGGATACTACTCTTCTTAACCACCTTCTCTCTCTCTCTCTCTCTCTCTCTCTCTCTCTCTCTCTCTCTCTCTCTCTCTCTCTCTCTTCTCTGTGTAGCCCTGGTTGTCCTGGAACTCACTTTGTAGAAAAGGCTGGCCTTGAACTCACAGAGATTCACCTGCTCTGCCTCCTGAGTGCTGGATTACCGACTCTAACCACTCTTAGTTGCTATTACAGGATTACTGAACTTTAGCTATGGAGCCAGATGCCTGCAACTCCTGATTATATTTGACAGTGAAGATCAAACTTGACCCATTCAACAGGAAGTAGTCTAAGGATAATAACACCCCCCTTTTCCAACCCCTTTTATCAATAACAAACGAAAAAGGGGGATGTAAGACCAAGCCCCATCTGTGCCTTAGGAGCTCCAACTGCCAGGGTCTTCCCACAGAACACTCTAGTGGCTAAAACAGCCAGACTCAGCCCCTTGAGACACAGGCAACCAAGCTCCGTCGTACAGAGTAAAAAGCCCAAGCTCAGGACTTGAAAACGCACCAGTGCCTACCCTGGAAATCTCTACCCCGGAAAACTCTGCCCCCAAGAAGCCCTACAGAAAGCTTGCCTCCTGCCCAGATTCTGCTGCTTCTCTCCTGTCAGAGGCAGTCACCCTCTGTGTCTTCCCTGTAACTCTGTGTGAGGTTTGTGGTGCAGTGTGACTCTGTGGTATTTCCTGGCTCCCAACTTCCAGGATACCTTTCTCCTCAGAGCTGTAACACTTACAGCGTCTGCTGCAATGAACTGCTCAAGACGTGGTTGCTGGTTAACTCTCCCATCAGCTGGGCACCAAAGAAGCCCTACTTCTGTCTTGACGAGAACACAGAGCTGAGACACAGCCATCCGCTGGAGTCGAGGACCTCGTCCCTACAGGCCAACACAGCTGCCGTTCTGCCTGAGCAATGCTGTGCCAGGGTCCCCAGCTGCAGAGAAGTTTCCATCTTTCCTGTCAATGTTTCCCCCAGTAGCCCACCTGCTGCTCTCTGCATGGGGAAATGCTGGGACGCCATTTTCTGGCACCTGACCTCCTACCATAGACTGAAGGCTTCACTGTCCTAACAGAAGCCCTGACTTGCCTCTGGGCGTGCCCCAAGGGAATATGGAGACCTTGGCCATAACTAAGCAATAAGAAAAGCCTTCCGTTTAAAAGATTTACTACAATATTTTTATTTTATTTATTTATGTGTATGGTTGTTTTGTATGCATGTATGTCTGTGTACTACTGCGTGCCTAGTAGGCCCTGGGACTGGGGTTACTGATGGATGTGAGCAATATGGATGCTGGAAGTTGAATCTGAGTCCTGTGGAAGAGCAGCCAGTGCTCTTAACCACTGAACTATTTCTCAAACTCCGTGTTATTTTCTTTCTTTTTAAAGATTTATTTCCTACAGTGTTCTGCCTGCATGTATCCCTGCAGGCCAGAAGAGGGCACCAGAACCCATTATAGATGGTTGTGAGTCACCATGTGGTTGCTGGGAATTGAACCTAGGAAGAGCATCCAGTGCTTTTAACCTCTGAGCCATCTCTCCAACCCTGCTTCCCCCCAATATTATTTTCTTTAAAAATTTATTTTTACTTTATGTGGAGAGTATTTTGCCTATATGTATGTCTGTATACCATGTTTGTCTGGTGTCCTTGGAGGCCAGAAGAGGGGTTGGGATGAACTAGAACTGGAGTCATGGGCAGCTGGGGGTCACAGGCAGCTGGGAGCCACTATGTAGGTGCTGGGAAGCAAAGCCAGGTCCCTGGAAGAACAGCAGTGTTCTTACTTGTTGACCTCTCTCTCTAGTCCTGTATTATTATTTTCTAAATAATGTTTTGTGGTTGTTATTGGCTTGGAACTTGCCATGTAGACCTGGCTGGTCTCAAACTCACAGAGATCCAGCTGCTTCTGCCTCCCTGGTGCTGGGATAAAAGACCTGGGTCAGGACTGGAGAGATGACTCAGTGGTTAACTAACTGTTCTTCCGGAGGACCCAGGTTCATTTCCCAGCACCCACATGGCAGTTCACACCTGTCTGTAACTCTAGTACCAGGGCTTCTGACACACTTCACACACACAGGCAAAACCCCAATGCACATAAAATAAAGAGAAGAAAAAAAAAAAAAAGACCTGTGTCAACAGGCTCTAATGATTCATTTTTATTTGTGCATGCACGTTTGAATAGAGCTTGTGGAGGCTAGAGGGCATCAAATCCCCTAGAGCTGGAGTCACCGATGGCTGTGAGCTACCCAGCACAGGTGCTAAGAATCGAACTGCGGCCCTGTGGAAGAGCAGCCTGTGCTTTTAACTGCTGAGCTGTCTCTCCAGTCTCTAGTCTGCCCCTTTAAAGCATCATTTCTGGGCGATGTCTAAGGCAAAGGGCCTGGACAGGGGCCATGCGATGCTGGGTACACACATGCACTTGGCATGCAGAGAAACATGACCTCAAGGTAACGCTGTAAACCACACCAAAGGACATACCCGCTCCACAACATTGCAACCTCTGCCAGGACCATGAGAACAATATCCTAGCTGTAGACTGTGCACCACTGACTTTATTTATTTACTTTTGAGGCAGGCCTCATGGGGCACAGGATGGTCTTTAGCTGTGCAGCTAAGGATGACCTTGAACTCCTCATTCTCTTGCCTCCAGCTTCAGTGTATAGGGGCTACAGGCAGGCATCCCTATGCATGCCTAGAGTTTATGTGGTGGGGATCAAACAGAGGACTTAGCTCGAGGTAGGTAAGCACCCTGTTAACTGAGCTGTGTTCCTGAGCACACACTGCCCAGCTTTTACTTCCAAATCCCCCAAGGAGTGTGAGTGTAAATTCTAAGGCCCCAGAGTGGAGAAAAATCTGTAGGTCGACGTCACACTTGTGAGGGAACTCAGAAAGGCCTCCTAGGGCTGATGTTACAGAGAGGACCCCAGAATGTGTTCTCACTACCATCTGGTTAACTTAGGAACCAAAGAGAAAGGTGTTCATTCTAGAGTGTTACAGGAGTTAATCTTACCACCCCTTAGCTTTCTCCTTGATATGACTGCTGAAAAAGCATAACAAAACCAAACCATCCTCCTGCACAGGCTCACTGGTGCCATCAGAAATGATCCCCACTTTCCTTCCTTAGCTAAGGACCCAAGTGACCAGCGGGGAGGGAGACCCAATTGCACTCACAACTTCGTTTAATCTGTCACTGCGGAGAAGCAGAGGTCGAGAGCCTGTCCTCTCACCGGAGGCTTTCTGATCTTGTTAAATGTCTCTACAGAATCCCACTGAACATTTCCTCTTTGTCTAGGGACAGGAGCCAATCATAGTTGGAAAATCAAGACAATCACAGTGACGCAGTTTCCCAAATCTTTGGCTGTATTGCAATGGTTGTTTCATTTTGTAATCTCCAACTGAACATTTCCTAACCATGGATTAACAATATAGGTACTGACTGGTTTAACAGTATTTATCCAACATAACAAAATAAACTGCAATTTGTTATACTTTTTTTTTTTACAAAACATTTTATAAATATTTTTACAAAATGTATACAAAGCAATTTCAAGTGAGACATACTATACAAATGAAGGTATTTAAGCAAATAAAGCCCACACCACACTGACAGTGAGTGACCGTCCTCTGCGCCGGCCAGCCTGTGAGGCCTCCCTAATCTAACAGAGTCTACTAAATTCTCCAGAGCTAAAGGATTTCCTTTTCGTAATTGCCAGTTCAAAATTCGCTTCATCTTTAGGCAGTACTTAGGGACACAGAAAATCAATGCGTAATAACAAATCCATACTTTTCCACAACGACAAACAGATTAAAAACAAAGAAAAGAAAAAGTGATTTGTGTTACTGAGCACGAGGACTCAACTGACTAACGAACCTAAACACCAAGTGCTGGCCACTGAGGCAGGTGCTTCCCTTCACCAGAGGGCGCTCGTCCATGAGTTATGACCCGCGTGGTGTAACCTAATCACAGGGGTAAAATACATTTTGTAATCTTCATTTGTCATTATCCAGAGTCTTTCCTCCATAAAAAGTAAACTTACATACAAGGACACAAAAATTTACAAGTTTCATTTTGGTACGTTAGGCTTTCCGTTGTGGGACCAATGTTAGGGCTCAGAAGCCCTGTACTTTGACATATAGGAAAGCTAGGTTTGGGGTAGGAAGGGTTGGAGGAGGAGAAGGAGGTAACAAATACACACGAGACTTTTCTTGTCTCAAGAATTCCACTGATTTGCAATAATTCATGTAATTCATTAGTAGCCATGTGCAGGCGTCCAGGGGCCATCTTGAATTAGGCAACCGAGGCTATGAGAAGAGCCTGTGACATCAGAGGGATAGGGCAGGCTGTTGACCCAGGGTGGCCCAAACAGAATTCTGACTGGCAAACAACTCATCTTTCTAACGGGTTATAATACAGGAGGGAAGTCAGCATCTTGGACATTGGCACAAATAAGGGAAAAAGGGTAACTCTAAGATAGCCCAGGGTTTCCTAGTTTGATTGGCTGGGCTCTGGGCTGGGCGAGGGTCCAAGGCTCTCTTGAAGACTGGCTGTCTCACGGGGCTTCTTTCTGTAGCGGACCGCGGGGTAAAGGGGGAACACACAGTCTGCTGTTGCTCAGTTTCTTTTGTTTTAAAGACAGGGGTGTGTTATGTAGCCCAAGCTGGCCTTGAACTCGTGACTCTCCTGCTTCAGCCACCTGACTGCTGGGATTACAGGCGTGTGCCAACATGCCTAGACTATGTGGCTATGTTGTTTGAAAAACATCAAAAGCCTTCCTTTCCACTTCAGGCCAGTCTGGAAAAGAAACACTCAACATGATGACCATGGGGACAGCTCCATTTTGGGGATCTAGTAATGTGGAAATCAATGGGTGCATTTACAGAGCTGGGGGATGAACAGAGGGTCAGACAGGTGGGCGGTGTGGCAGGAGCTGCGTGTGCAAACACATGGCCCGTGACCTGGCTTTCCCTGCAATGGTTATGACACAGAGAACGAAAGCCGTAACAGAAACATCATGCCCTGGGACAGGCCCACGAGGGAAATGGGAAGGCTCGCTACCTCGAACACGGGTCACCCACGTGGGTGGTCCTCTCTTTCCGTGGTGACATGTCGGCTGTTGCCCTTGGTTTACTGTGTCGGGAATGACCAATGCCAGTGCTGACTACTGTTCTCAGAAACAGGAAGCACAAAGAAGGCCAGAGTCCCCTTCAAAAGTTTCAACTGAAGGAACAGAAGACAGTTCTGGGTGCCAGCACTCCTGAGGCTTGGCTATTCGCTGAGGGCGAGGACGTAAAGAGGTAAACGAAACAGAATTCAGCAACAATCAAAGACACAAGGTATGCTGACTTCACCCGATTATAAATGCAAACTCTTTCGAGTTACATACACTGCCACTGGCTCCAGCAGCCTCCCCAGCCCGCTCGCTGCCTTTGACTGGTTCCCATTGTTCCCTACTGAGCTTGGGAGAGCTTGTATTACCTGGGACTAAGAACAGAGCTTTCTCAGATGGAAGTCAACATGGATGTGCTAAAGACAAAGGAAGGTTTTGCTTCAGCAGCATCAGTAAACACTCAGATGTTCAAGAGGGAGGGCTACAAACGCTCTGCGTCTATGCTACAGCTGTCTTCGCTGGCCAGGGCTGTGGGGTTCCAGGCAGAGCAACTGGCCCCCACTGCTCAGAGAGCATGGAGGAGTCATGCGGACTTCCCTTCACAAATACCCTTTTCCCCAAACAAAAACAGAACCACTAGTTTGGAGCTGCAGTGAGAAATTCTTTAAAAAAGTAGCTTCTATCAGTCCTGTTTGATTTTTCTTTAATAAGTCTGTTCTTTTGAAATGACTTATGATTGTCAAAATTTTACCCAGGGTCAAGTGTACTGTGGTCTCATCGAGTGACAGTGCTAAAAAACCAACAAACCACGAAACAAGGAAACGAACAACAACAATGGCCATAAGCACTTTCGTAACACTTGAAATGTGTAGGGCCTATCGGGCTGCCTTCTAGAGAGAGATGGGTTTACTGAGGGTCTCCCTGCAGCCACGACGACGTGTATTGCTCTTCAAAAGAACAGGGTCGAGATTAGAAAGGATAACCTGTGATGGAGGACCAAGCAGGCTGGAGACAGGAGACGTTTCCATTTGCTTTGCTGGGAGAGAATGTAACTGGTCCGGGGCGGGGTCTGGGGAGGGCGGCTGCTACTAACACTCAAGGATACTATTTACAGCGGCTTCTAAAATCGAGTCCGTTTCTACAACGCCTTCACTGTGGTCCGGGATGAACTTTTCCAGGCAGTTTTCCTGCGAAGCCATTGGAGAAAAGCTGGGGAAGTCAAGGTCCACGGCGCCGCTGGCCGCGGGGTCGCTCTGCGGCCGGCCCGCCTTCTTGAGTTCCAGAATGTTCTTAAAGGTTTTCTCCAGGCTCTTGGTGAGCTGGAGATCCGGCTGGGGCTCACCCGACCCTTTCATGATGTCTGTGTGTAAAACCTCATTCTTTGGGGAATTCCTCAGGGCTTTGTCCTGGAAGGAGTCGAGGCACGGCATCTCCAGGTGCGAGCCGGCCAGCATGCCCGGGAGCTTGCTCTCGGAGCCATGATCCGGCCTGGGCATAGTCTTGCGGTGGCCCTCGGGGCCTGGAGAGCACCCGCTGGCCTTGGCGGGGTCCCTCCGGCTGCCCTTGTCCTCAGGTGCACCCCGGTACTGGCCTAAGCCCCCTTTGTCATATTTCAGTGTTCTACCGTGGCCTTCCGACTTTTTAGCAATGGTTCCCTCTGCAGAGACCACGACGTGGTTAGGCACTAGATGAAACTGGTCATGATTCGCGGCTTCTGCCATGCCCGGCTTGGCTCGGTCTCTGCTTTGGGCCCTGGGCCCCTGATGGAGCGAGCTGGTTCTGCTGCGATGCTGGTCACTCCTGTCCAGTGGTGTCTCGGGTGCAGCCTCGTCAAGTTTGAAGGAACAGCAGAAATCGGCCTGAAAACCCTCTGGGAATGAGATGGGAAAGAGCTTTAATGGTCAAAGTGAGGCCTGGCCCACGACAAGCCCTCCTAACTAGGAGCAGAGAGCAGTCCCTCGGCCAGTAGGCCTTCTGCTCCTCCTCCCGACCACCCCACAGAGCGACTTCCACAGAAACATGCAGAGACAGTTTAAGCAAGGGGCATCCTCTCAAAGTAGCCCAGGTTCTGGGGCCAGCTTCCACACAGGAAGCCTGACCCAGGGTTTTGTGCACTCAAAGGAGGCCCTCTACCAAGAGGGCTCCATGCCTGTCCCTCCATTTTTCTTTGGTTAACTGCTGTTCTGAGAACAGAAGTCATGGCTTCAACCTGCTTCCTTCCTTACAGCAGCGGCTTTGTGCCAAGGGGGTAGGTAATGCGTAATGAGGTTACAGCCAGGTGTGAGGGCTGGGCCGCTTCTCCCAGATCATGAAACTAATGGCCCAAAGGCTCACGAAACGCAATCTGCTTGGAAGGACACCGGCCATGGAGGGGCCATGTCTGAGTGTATGGGTTGCACCCTCCTCAGGTTCCGGGAGCCCAGGGATGCCAAGGGAAGCCTTTGTGAGGACTTGAGGCTACAGCAGCAGGGTCTAAGGAAGGAGCGATTCCATCTCCAAACAGGAGCTCCAGGGGAAAGAGTTGGCTAAAGTGTAACAAGGGCTCCACATGACAGACACTGCCTGCTCATAAAGGTGTGACAATGGATGACAAAGTGGCGTGGTTTTCAGAAGCACATTTACCAAAGGCACAGATTTCAGTCTCTCAGAAAGGGATAGAAACAGATCCTCTAATGTCCTCTTTGGAAGGATGTGAGGCTCCTGGTACATACATAGTACTTTTTCCAGACGCGTCCATTAGCCTATCAGTCCACACATTAAATTTGTAAACCTCCTGAGCCAAAGCAGGCCTAAAGCAGAACCTTAATATTTACATATCAATAAGGAAGAGTTAGGCATGGTGGACCTGCCTGTAATACAGCACTTGGGAGGTTGCGGCAGGTGGATTACTATGAGTTCAAAGCCAGCCTGAGTTATATCATGAGTTCTGGCATAGTCTGAGCGGCAGAGCTCAAGAAATAAACAACCAAAGCAACAACAACAACTTAAGGGAAAAAATCCTGCGGGGCCAGAGATAAGGCTCAGCTGTTAGGAGCACTGGCTGAGCTTGCACAGGACTTTGGTTTGGATCCCAGCAGCCACATGGTGGCTCACCACCAAATGTAACTCCAGGTCCCGGGGATGTGACGCCCTCTTCTGGGCTCTGTGAGCACCAGGTATGAATGCGGCACACACACACACAGGTAAAAGAACCATACACATAAAAGTTTAAACAATTAAAAAAAGAAAAAGACAAGACATTGGAGGAGAATAAAATCAAAGCAGCTACCCCAGGTAAATGAGTCCACTAAATTATCAAGGTAATGTAGTCAAATACTATTCTAAAGATTAAAATCAGATAAAAACTCCAGGGGCCGGAGAGCCGGCTCAGTGGTTAAGAGTGCTTGCTGCTCTACCAGAGGACCTGAGCTCACAGCACCCACGTGTGGGGGGTTACAACTGCCTGTGACTACAATTCCAGGGCATCCAAAACCCTCATCTGGCCACTGTGGGCACCCATACATGTGCATACATACACACACAGACAAACACATATAAACTTACATTTAAGTTAAATTGCAAACAGCTCAGTGACTTCAGGAGCTTGCCACCAAGTCTGATGACCTGAGTTCAAGCCCTGGGACCCACAAGCTGTTGTCCAACCTGCACATGCCTCTGAGTGCCCCCTTTCTCTCTCTCTCCGTCATACACACACACACACACACACACACACACACACACACATTTTTAAGATAAAAAAAATGCTAGAATAAAATAAAAAAGAACATCAGAATATAAAATCCTTTCTAGCATGTGACTTCTAAAACCATTTTTTAGATGGTATAAATACAGGTGAGATTTATGTTCCCTGGACTACTATGGTGTTTATGATTTACAGCTTCTAATCTCAGCTACTCAGGGGACTGAGGCAGGAGCATCACTTTAGAGACATGAACTTGAGATCAATGTGGGCAACTGAGCTGAGAGAAAATTTTTAAAATAAGATTTAAAAAGGACAGATTTGGAGCTGGGTGTAATGCCTCACACCTTTAATCTCCGCACCTGGGAGGCAGAGACAGGCCCTGTGAGTTTGAGGCCAGCCTGGTCTACATAATGAGTTCCAGGACAGCCAGGGCTGCACAGTGAGACCTTGTCTAAGAAAACAAGAACAAAAACAAGTGGGGGCAGGTTTGGGAAGCTCTAAAATGCTCACAGGGGGTGGCACAGAGAAAAGCACCTGCACAGGGCACTACAACTTCGGTGCCATGCTTCACTGATGTTTTCTTAGACACTGAGAAGCCTCTGGCTTCATTTATTCTCAAAGATTAGAATGATTAGGATTTGAAGTTGAACGGGGAAAAGCAGTCATTTAACTGAATGCAAAATTCCATTTGGATTTTGTAGACTAGAGACATTCTTGGGATATTCACATACCGCTCTCAACTGAGTTAGTTGTTTTCCCTTCCCAGAATTCACTCTCTCTTCTTCTGGACTTACCACAGGTTGGTTCACACAGACCTCCCAAAGGCCACACTGCTCAGGGACTATCACAGCTGTCCCCCAGACCTGTACCCTAACATTTCTTACCAGGATCCACGAGTGCCAGCCGCTTGTCCCGAGACAGGGAAGCTCTTTCCTCCTGGTTGAACATCCTGTCGATCATCACCATCTCAGCAGAGGGGTTGATCCTCTGAAAAGGAGAGAGCCAGTCACTTCAGATGCTCTTATCAAGGGACAGTGACCACTGTGTGGGCACTAAATCAGCAACGAGAAGTCAGAGTTTGGCGTCTAGATACTCTAGAGTTCCATCATCACACACGGGTTACACACAGGAAGCTATTACATTTGCTGCTGTTTTCAGACAGTCCCATGTAGCCTAGGGTGGCTTCAAATTTGTAGCGATCATCCTGCCTCAGCTTCCTATCTGCTGGGATTATAGTCACCCCCAACTGTAAGTAGCCCTTTCTCAAATGATAGAACTGGTTTGTATTTATTTATTTTAGTTTTTCGAGACAGGGTTTCTCTTTGTAGCCCTGGCTGTGCTAGAACTCACAGAGATCTACCTGCCTCTACTTCCCTAGTGCTGGGATTAAAGGTGTGCGCCACCACCAGTACCTGAGCTGGTTTTTAGAGATAGGGTTTCACTATGTAAGCCTGGCTAGCTTCAAACTCACTCTGTAGACCAGGCTAGCCTTGGATTCACAGAGATCTACCTGCCTCTGCTTCTGAGAGCTGGAATTAAAAGTGTGTGCCACCATGCCTGGTGAGGCAGTCTTATTAGATGGCTCAGAAGTTGTTTTTTTTTTTAAATCAGAAATGGTTGCCAGCGACATCTGCTGCTGTCACTCTCAGTGATCGCCAAGTGTGAAGTTTTCCTCCAACCACAGACATCTCTCTTTATAAACCATGGTCTGGGTGTGGAAGTCCTGGAACCATCTCTCTGTGCCTTAGGGCCAGCTGAACTGCTCAGGCAGCCATGCTGGGAGCACACTTTTACCATGGCATCTTCTAGGAGCAGGAATCTGTATTTGTTCAGCATCGCTTGGGTCCTTTTGAGGAGCTGGGTGGCGACTTCTTCAAATTCATTGTCCACTTTGAAAAAAACAAAAAACGGAGAAAACGATAAGAGGCGCGGGTCTGTTTCCTGAGACCGGCACCGACTCATTCCCACAACCTACCCGTGGCAAGGATACCCGGCAGACATCCCCCTCAGATTAGCCTTCTCTGCTTAAGCACGCTGCAGACAGACGCCTGCTTAAGCACGCTGCAGACAGACACCTGACGTCCCTGCACTGTGTGTGGTGGCGAACTCAGCCCGGGAAACCAGCAGCCTGAGCTGCTCTGAGCAGGCCAGGAAGGAAGAGCACTGGACAGAGCTCATGAGCTGCTTCCCTCAGTTCTGTTCCTTCCCAGAAGCAGGGCAGACAGAAAGAGCTGAACAAGTCAAGTCCGACTGTCTGGGAAGACACACACCAGTCCACGACCCCTTGCAGGTCACGATCTCAAGCTCTGGATTTTGACTTTTAGTCTGGAGAAATGTCACATTTTCCAACTCACTCTTCCTCAGAATCCTCACAGCACTTTACTGCTGACTCTGGAAGCCACTCTTGAGACCTCCCCGGAAGCTCCAGTGGGTCAGGAGACCCTGGAAGGATCAAGACCAGTGGGAGTGGAGGATGATATCATGGAGGGCTTGGTGGCGGGGAGGGAAAGTGGGGTGGCACCAAATCCCCGCTACTGGACTTAGACAGACGACAGCTACAGATGCTAGAACAGGTGGGGTTCTTAGGCTGGAGAAGGGGCCCTGTCCCTAATCTTGTCAGTTTCCTGAAATCCACACAATGCCTTGGACTTGCTTTGGGACCCCAGGGAGCGAACTAGTTCCTGGACCTGGTACAACAGTCAGGGTCAAGTTCACGTGCCCTGCAAGTACCTGGAAGAAGGTCACCCCACTACAGTCGGCTGCCCCTGTCAACAGCTGGAGATCCCTTCATGGACTATTAAGAACAAGTCACAGCCCTACCCACGGGCTGGGGTATTGAGGAAAGAGGAAACCAGTTACATGCCACTGGTCTACTGATGGGGTGTGTGGGAGGGCAGCCGTGGCCATGGCTGTGCCCTAGGGCCGTGGCTGCTCACCTTTCCTCAGGTCTTCCTCCGTGGGCATGGAGCCCTGGCACACGTGGTAGGAGAGCAGTCTCTGCACTGTGTCACTCAGTGATTGGAACTGGCTTTTGTCAGGTGTCACAGCATGGGCTTGGTCCCTCTGTAACTGCTGCAGGATGCTTTAAAGGAGAAGCAGAGAGTGGTCGGTAAAGGCCACATCAGGAAATCAATCAGTCAAACCACTTATTAGCAATGCCGTTCCTACAGCACAGTGACACTGCATTCTCCACACTTTAGTCTGCATATTATTCCCATGACCCGGACCTCAAGAACACAATGTTCCCACAGGCATTGGTGTACGGCTGTTCACAGAGACAGGCATTCTCTTCAAGAGCTAAAAAGCAAACAGTGCACTTTATCTCATCTATTTACAGGTCCTGATGAAAGCAAACTGCAGGAAAAGATTTTCAAAGTCATCGACACATGTCCACCCCCTTGTGTGAGTGTGCCCGTGAATCAAGACACACTTGTAGAGGTCAGCTCTCCTCTTGCACGTGTGGGCACTAGACATCAACTCAGCCCATTGGGCTGGGCGGCAAGCCCCTTTCCGCTGCCGAGTCATCCAACGGGCCCCAACCTTGTGTTTTGGAGACTGGTTCTCTCGGGTGCCAACAACTGGCTGAGCAGGCTAGACTGGCCAGCCAGAGATTCCCAGGGGTCCACCTGTGCTTGCCCCCCAGTCTGGGATTAGAGGGCTGGCTGCTGTGCCTGGCTTGTTTTACATGGGTCAGGGATCGAACCCTCATTCATCCTCACGCTTGCGGAGCAAACCTTTGACAACTAAGCCATCTCCCCAGCTCTCAAATTTCTTTAAAAAAAAAAGTGGTTTTTTAGACAGGGTCTCACTGTGTAGACCTGGCTGGTCTGGAGCTCAGTGTGTAGATCAGGCTGGCCTTGAACTCACAGAAACCCAGAGATCCACTTGTCTTTGCTTCCCACGTGCTGAGATTAAAGGTGTGAGTCATTCAAAGCCCATTTTAAAAAAGGCTAACAAACTCACCATTATAGTGAGGTGTGTGGTGTGTTTAATGAAAACAAGGGACCCTAAGATACCTTGAGAAAAACTGAGAATTAATTTTCCCTTCCGAAGCATAACTTACAAAGCTCCTTTAGTCAGCTGTTTGGTGGCAGGCCTTTTCTGTCCCGAATGACCGTCCACCTAATAACAGAACACGGGGAAAATCACAAAATACAGTTATAGATAAAGACTGCTATGCTCCAAGTGATTCCCGTTACCTATCAACAAAGACTTCAAATGTGTCATGCTGAAAACTCAAACAAGCAATCAAGGCCGACTTCCTTGTAGTCAAGAGTACCAGGGTTAAGTCTACAGAAAGCTGGACAGTAATTTCCAGGAAGCTATTAATCAGCAAATTTTGGGGAAGAACCAAGGTCTTAGAAAGCTAGACACAAAGAGCTTCCCTTCCTTTTCAAGACTAGTAGTGTGAAATGCCTTGAGATTTATACGGCACAAAGGTGGGTCAAAGGACCACAGAAACGGCCTATTTCATGCATTTATGTCTTGTCCTTATATACAAACAAGCCTCCCATCACCATGAACAGACACACTGTTTACTTTTTGAGTCTTGCTATGTACCCCTGTCCTGGAAGGCACTGTGTAGATCAGGTTGGTCACAAACCTGTGGTACCAGAACCACTTCTGACATGATGATTGCTGTGATTTTTTCCTTTGTGCAGTGTTGGGGATTGAACCCTGGGCTGTGCGCATGTTGGGCAAATGCTAACTACTGAGTTACACCCCTGTGATGGTCACTTTGGACTATCAATTGGAGAGGATCCAAAAATCCCCTCAGAAAGAAACCTCTGGGCACATCTGGGAGGGAGGGTGTGAAGAGAGACCCTGATTTTGAGTGGCACTACCCCATGCCCTAGGGTCCTGGGCTGAGTAAGGAGGATGTGAGCTGAGCACCAGTATTCATTCCTGTTCCTGCCTGCAGACACAACCCGACCCCTGCTTCACACTCCTGCTACCAAGACGTCCCCAGGGCCTGCACTCTCAAGTGTGAGCCAAACCCCTCCTTCCTCAAGCTGCTTGTCAAGTTCTTCGTCCCATAAATGACCAAAGAACTACAATCCCCAACCCTATGGGTGCAGCTTTTATGTGTCTAGCATATGTTAGCTACCGGTGTGCGTAAGTATGCGTGTGTGTGTGTGCAGGTGTGTGTATGTGTGTGTGTGCATGTGTGTGTGTATATGCATGTGTGTATGTGTGTGCATGTGTGTACATGTGTGTGCGTGTGTGTATATGTGTGTGCGTGTGTGTGTCACTGTTGGGGATCAATCCCAAGGCCTTGCACAGACTAGGTAACTACTTTACACCTGAGCTAGCCCTCTTCTAGCTTCCTTTCTGTTGCTCTGGTAAGATCTCTGAGCAAAAGCAAATTAGAGAAGAACAGGACTTATGTGACTTGCACTCTCAGGCCACCGTCCATCACTGAAGGACGTCAGGGCAGGAACTGGCAGGAACCATGAAGGAACACTGCTTGCTGGCTGTTCTCTAGCTTAGACTTAGCTCAGTGTCACCTGCCCAGAAAACAGCATCCCTCATGGTGGGCTGGGCCCCCATCAAAAAGGACAACCCAGACAGTCCCTTACAGACATGCCCACAGGCCCATCTGAGCTGGGCAATTCCTCAGGCGAGGCTTTCCTCTCAGACGACTCCACTGTGTCAAGTTGACAGTGGTAGCCAGGACAACTCACAACCCGGTAAGTGCATTTATTTACTTTTTGTGGTGTCTACTATGTGTAGGGTACTGGTGTGTGCTTTGTGTGTGTGTGTGTGTACATGTGCGCACCACTGCTAGATAGCAAACCCAGGGCCTTGCACACACTAGGCAGGTACTCCACAACACTCCAGCCCTTGATCTATGAAGGATTCATGAGGCACCAGAAACATGTCAGGAACAGTTGAGAAAGATTCATCCTGGAAACATGAATGTGACCAGGCCTGGCCTCCTGGGAATTGTTGCATGCACCTGGAGACAGACTGGCTGCATGCACAGTGCTGGACACCAACCATCAATCTTCTTGGGACTACACAATCCTCCTTTAGAGCCATGAAGGGCCACTGCAGACATGCAAACAGTCTCCTACCTGCACAGTTGTCTGGCTAGGGGAAGATCCAACTGAGTTTTCCTGCTGTGGCTGGGCGGTCCCCAAGGGTGCTGGCATAACTTTGCTTCCAGAATCCTGTCCTATTAGAACAAATGTAGAAGACAGAGCTTATCAGAGACAGACAGTCGGGTCCAGTATGTGCATTCTGAAAGGGGCTTCTTTCTTTGTTATTTTGAGACAAGGTCTTACTATGTAGTCCTGGCTGGCCTGGAACTTGCTAAGTAGACAAGGATGGCCTTGAATTTACAGAGATTATCCTGCTTCTGCCTCCAGAGTGCTGGGATTAGAGGTGTGAACCACCATACCCAGCCTGAAAGGGATTTCTTGATGAAACCCTGTTGGAAGGAAGGGAGCAGGGGACACTGATCTATTAGCTATGGAGGCAGAGGTAGGTGCTATTAAATTCTGAGTAGGCAACAAATAGACCAAACTTAATCCATGATAATAAATAGAACTGTGAATGCCATATGCAGTTTTTAGTGTCTATGGTCTGAGAAATAGGCCTCAGCCTGCAATCTGCCGCCAGTACTTCAGAACTCCAAACTACACCTGCAGGAAGGAGGCCCAGAGGGGAACTCAGAAGGATGCTCTAGCCCCCATAGCTGATCGTGTATGGAGCTGGTAAGAACAGTTACTATACACAGTCGTAGACAAAAGGCTGCTTTTACTCTTAGTGAGAATGGAGTCGAGCAGGTGTTAAGTGCCTTAAGACAGGATACAACCTACATGTTTCCAGTTTGGAGAGTGGGACCTCTGAACACACATGCACAGAGAACACGGGGCCAATTACAAAGGTCTGTGTGCCTTGCTCATCAAAACCAGAGCTCATCCCTTCTATACAATCTAATGTCTCACAATTCAGAAGTGCTTCTTTTCCTTCTGAGCGGTATGCTCTACCTCACAACTGATGGAGCCCTGCAGCTGCAGGAACACGCTCCAGTCTTTGGGCGGGAAGGGTACAGAGAAAAGGGACGATAGGGTGAATTCAGAGACCTGGGGAGACTCAGGGAGACAGAGGCGGCGAGGGAGAAGCTCACATCTCAGGCACTGGGGGGGTGGGGGTGGAGGTTGAGGGGGTGGGGGTGGGGCAGACTGCAGCGGACTTCTGCAGAGGCTCCTGACCTGGTAGTGCTGTGCTCAAGAGTCCAGGGATCTGTGGCTGCCTCAGGCCGTCTGTGCTCTTGGATGAGGGAGTTGGGGAGGTCTGGTTCAAACACTTTTTCTGAGCCTATAGACCAAAGAGCCAAGAAAAAGGTTAACGTCACTGTTATAAGTATAGATTATAGATTACTTATTTTTTTTAGATTTATTTAATGTGTTAGAGTGTTTTGCTATGTGTATGTGTTGTGCACCACATGTGTACCCGGTGGCCAGAAGACATCAGATCCTTTGGAACTGGAGTTATGGATGGTTGGAAGCCACCATGTAGTTGCTGTGAACTGAACCTGGGGCCTTTGCAAGAGCAACAAATGTTTTTAACTGTTGAGCCATCTTTCCAGCCCCAACAGGTAAGTTTAAAATGCCACACAAGCCATTTGAGGTATTGAATGCCTTTAATCTGAGCAAGAGGCAGAGGCAGGTAGAACTCTATGAGTTCCAGGACAGCCAGGCCATCATACAAACACCGTCTCAAAAAGAAAATACAAACAAATGCTAGACGATCTTCATTTTTTTAAAAGATTTATTGTTTATTTTTAAATTACTTGTATGTATGTCAGTATATGTAAGTGCATGTGTCTGCAGAGGCTAGAAGAGGGGTCAGAGGCCTAGGAGATGAAGTTACAGGCAGTATGAGCCACAGAACGCTGCTTTGAGGAACCAAACTCAGGTCCCCAAGACCAGCGCATGCTCTTAGCCACTGAGTCGTGTCTCCAGTCCCTCAACCAAAGGTCATAAATTGGTGTCACTTCCAGTTAGATATTACAAAAAGAACCCTAAAAACATTCTTCTGTCACACCGGGAGAGTTTCAGAGTATATCCTTTAAAATCTATAAGCTCATGCAATTTTCTTTTCTTTCTCTCTTTTTTGGGGTGGGGGTGGGGGGGCCCTTGGCTGACCTGACATGGTACATCAGGCTGGTTAGGAAGTCCCAGAGATCTCTCTGCCTCTGCTTGGAGAGCAGGATTAAATGCATGGACTATCACACCTGGCCAAATTTTTTTAAAAAAATGAAGTTCCCGGTATGTTAAAGAACTAAACCAAGGCCCTAACCCATTTTAAGCATCCCGATGCCATCCTGCTATCACAAGTCATGCAGAGGATCGAGAGAACTGCTTCATCTCGGTCTACAGTGGACAAACACCGCGTTAGCTCATGTGCAGTAAATGAGTCTTCTTTTCTTTTCTTTTCTTTCTCTCTCTCTCTTTTTTTTTTTTTTTTTTGTATTTTTGTCTGTTTGTTTGTTTGTTTGTTTTTCAAGACAGGTCTTCTCAGTGTAGCCCTGGCTGTCCTGGAACTCACTCTGTAGCCCAGGCTGGTCTTGAATTCACAGAGATCCGCCTGCCTCTGCCTCCCGAGTGCTGGGACTAAAGGCGTGAGCCGCCACCGCCGCCGCCGCCGCCGCCGCCGTCCTAGGCCCTTGAACTCTTGATCCTTCTGTCTCAGCTTTCCAAGCAGCTGGGATCGTAGGTGTGTGGCGTCCGGCCCAGTTTTTTTCTTTGCCATACTGACTTGAACCCAGAACTTCGCACATGCCAGACAAGCGCTATGCCACTGAGCTATAACCCCACCCTCTTTAATCTAACTACCACAGTGGCGCAGACTGCATCCTCTGTTTTGGGGACTGGAACACTTGCTGTGACTGTTACACTGTGGGGCAGAGATGGGATGGCATGGGCAGGGGAACATGGTCTGGCCCGACATTAGAGATTTATTTTTACTATTATTTGTTTACTTGTTTGTTTTTGGTTTTTTTTTTTTTTTTGGTTTTTCGAGACAGGGTTTCTCTGTGTAGCTTTGCGCCTCTCCTGGAACTCACTTGGTAGCCCAGGCTGGCCTCAAACTCACAGAGATCCGCCTGGCTCTGCCTCCCAAGTGCTGGGATTAAAGGCGTGCGCCACCACCGCCCGGCTGTTTTTGGTTTTCTAAGAGAGGGTCTATTATGTAGCTCTGATTATCCAGGAATTCACTATGTACACCAGGCTGGCCTTGAACTCTAGATATGCCTGCCTCTATCTCCCTAGTCCTGGGATTAAAGGGGTGTGCTACCACAATTGGCTATTTTTTATTATTTGTTAATTAATGTGTATCTACACACACACACACACACACACACACACACACACACACACACACACCCTCTCTCTTATGCACTTGCATGCACGCACACGCATGCGCGCGCACGCATGCGCGCGCACGCACGCATGCAGGCCCAGTATGCTCCATGTGAGTTTAATTGGCTGTAGAGGCCCAAAGAAGGCACTGACTATTCTGGAGCTGCAATGAGTTTCGGGAGGGCTTGAGTGGCCTGATGTGGGTGTAGTAGCCCCCCTCAGGTCAGTCTCCCCAGCTCCAGCCCTTCTCCTTGCTTCCGTGGTGAACTTCATCTTGCTCTCATTACAGTTTTACCCATTTTGTTTCATTTGTTTAATAGCCCGGAGATGTCCAGGTCACGTCTAGTAAATACAGTAGGAGATGAAGCTGGCGAATTTTTTTTTTTTTAATAAAAACAAAGTTTGCTCCAAGCTGTAAGGGTGACTTTCATCTCCTGAGTCCCAGGCACCACCCAAGTCTCCCGAGGCAGGAGCACTGCTCTAAGAATGCTTGCATTCAGGTTACTCTTTTCCGGCTGTTCTCTCTCTCTTTCACATTTTTTTGAGATTAAAATATAACTGCATCATTTCCTTCCCTCTCCTCCCTCCAGCACCTCTCATGGACCTGCCTCTTTGTCTCTCAGATTCACAGCCTCCTTCTCCTAATCCGTTCACTCTCTGCTTCATGCTTTCGGGTGAGATGTGGTCTCTGAGCTCCCTGCCCAGGCCACCATGCCCGTCACTAACACTCCCCCAGCCATAACAGATTCTCAGACTCTGGAACTGTATGTCCAAATATGTTCTCCCTGCTTTCATTTGCTTTGGTCGTAGTATTTTATCACAGCAACAGAGAGTGACTAATTCATCAACTTGATCAATGGGACGAGCTCCAGGTTTGAGAGGATGAGTCGACATTTAAAAAATATGATGGTTTGAAAGAGAATGGCCCTCACAGGCTTAGAGATCTGGATACCTGGACACTAGGAAGTGTCAGTATTTGAAAAGATTAGGAGGTGTGGCCTTGTTGGAGAAAGTGTGTCACTGGGGGTGGTGGTCTTTGACGTTTCAAAAAACCCATTCTGCAGGATGTGGTGGCACAAGCCTTTAATTCCAGAGTTTAAGGCCAGTCTGGTCTATAGAGCAAGTTCCAGGACAGTAGGGCTATGTGGAGAGACCCTGTCTTGAAAAACTAAAAACTTAAAAAAACAAAACAAAACAAAACAAAACATCAAAAAATGATTTACTTATACTGTATATGTGTGTGTGTAGCATGCAAATGCACAATGTGTAAACCTGTGCACATGCGCAGAGGCCAGAAGAGGGCGTCGGCTGTCCTCCTATCACTCTGCCTGTTACCTCAAGGCTAGAGTTTTCTAGGCTGCAAGGGAGCAATCTTCTAGTCCCCACCCCTCTGATGTCACAGCATGCGATGAACACACTAGACTTGTTACTTGGGTACTAGGATCCCAAATTAAGACCTCAGTCATCTCTCCATCCCCTTCTCTTTTCTTCAGAAAAGGCATTGTTGGACAGCGAGGCTGGCTGGTCTTGAATTCACAGCAGACTCCTGCCTCAGTCTCCCAAGTGCTGGGATTGCAGTCATGAGCTGCCACACCTGACTCAGTCTACTGAATGTGACTCTGCACTGAACAGCCTCCTAGTTGCTAACCCCATCTCAGGCTCTCGGCTCCCCTCTACTGACTTCCCACATGCGCGCTCCCTCTGGCATGCACACTGTTTCCAGGTCCTTAGAGCTAAGCTTACCATTCCTGGTCCTCACACCGACTGCCACTGCCCAAGATGCTGCAGCTCTGACTTTCCTTCTCTACCTGTACAGTCTCCTAGCTCCATCTCAGTCACTTTCTTTCTTTCTTTTTTTGAGGTGAGGATCGAACCCAGGGCCTTGTGCTTGCTAGGCAAGTGCTCTACCACTGAGCTAAATCCCCAACCCCCATCTCAGCCACTTTCACGGCTTCACTTACAATTTATACGCGGCTCGATGAATACCCTTTCGGTCTTCACATTTATGGTTGTTTAGCACCCACTGTCCATTGGCTACCTCAGACCTGATGATAATACCTGAAGCTCAGCAACTTCCTTTAGAGGTAAAAACTCCCTGTTTCTGTCACCGTTAGGACTTGTGGCATATTGCTCCTCCACCAGGGCAGCCAGTCCCAAGTTCTAACTTCATCATTTCAAATCCGAGTACTTCCCACCACATCCCCAACATAAGGCTACACGAGTCTTCACTATTTCACATTTAGGCTAACACAATGGCTATTTTTGTTTATTTTTTTGAGACAGGGTCTCACACAGCCCATGGTGGCTTCAAGCTGAGGTGGCTTTGCAGTCGAGGCTAACCTTGAACTCCTGATCTGGTGTCTACCTGCCAACTCCCAAGTGCCTGGACCACACACAGGTGTGTGTCCTTGCCTGGCCTATGACACTGGCTTTCTTGTTTGCTTGTTTGTTTTTGAGACAGAATCTCACTATGTAGCCCTGGTTGTCTTGGAACTCACTATGTAGGGCAGGCTGGCCTCGAACTCACCAAATCTGCCTGCTACTGCCTGAGTGCTCGGATCAAAGGCATGAGCCACCGTACCCAGCAACACAGGCTCTTTTTTGGTTTTGTTTTGTTTTTGAGACAGGCTCTCATTGTGTAGCCCTGGCTAGCCTTGAACTCCCAGAGATCTGCCTGCCTTGACCTCCGAGTGCTGAGATTAAAGGTTCACACCTGGCACAACACGGCTCTGAACGCGACCTGTAAGACCCACAGGACGTGCACCCACACACCTGTCCCACCAAACACCTTCCTCCCATCACCTGGACCTGCTTCCCTTCCTTCCCCCAGGGTACACACCTTCTCCTCTCCCAGACTTTTCACATCTCCTTTCTGGAACATTCTCCACCTAGACCCTCTTGTCTTATTAGTCCTTCCTTCCTTTAGAAGTTTACAGATCAGCAGCCAGTGAGATG